CACCATGTGGCTCCAAGGATAGAACTCAGGTTGCCAGAGTTGGGGGTAAGTGCCTCTACCTGCTAAGCCTAAGCCATCTTGGCAGCCTGAATTATTCCTTCCCATATCAAAACATAATGTAGGGTGGGGTTTGAAGCTTAATATTACTTTGTGTGTGTGGTTAGGATGTTGGGTTAAATCTCCAGCACCACAAACAAAAATAAAACCCTATAATATAGTTACATATATCTGTGAGGGTTTTCTTTTCTTGAGTTTCTTAAAATCTCATTTCCTTTGCTAACTGTAGAATGTGTTCTGTCCTACCTACCATGGTATTGCTTTGCTGACAACAGATGTGCATTTTCTGTTTCTCTGTCTCAGTGCAAGCTAAGCAGAAGCCCTGCCACTGAACTCACCCCATTCCCTGAAGGTATTTTAGATGGCACATGAACTCCATTGGCATGCTACCTGCAGTGTCCATGAATTAGTTGAAAACAAATACTTAGAAATAGCTATGCTGTATTTGAAAAAGGCCTGTCTAAGGAGGTAGCGTTTTACCAGAGATGCTGGCTGTTTTAAAAGAAGAAAGAGCATAATAGGCTGAGATAATAGAATGATTAAAGTGGCAGACATTAGGACTGGGGATGTAACTCAGTGGGAGAGTGCTGGCCGAGAGACCAACAGATAACCAGAAGAGAGACATGCCGGGAAAATGTACAATCAGTAGCTGGTGATGGAACTCAAAGGCTGAGGTGGCTAGAACATAATGAGCCATTGAAGATGATGCAAGTGAGAGAGGCAAGGTGGATTATGAGGACTGTGTCGGTCCTTTGTAGTAAGTCCAAGGAAACGTTAAGACACACCCCTCCACTTTCAATACAAGGTCTCACCGTGGAAGTCAGACTACTTGGAACTTGCTACATAGCCTCACTGCTCATAGTCTAGCCTCAAACTTAGGACCCTTCTACAACATGTCTTTGAAATGATTCAATTTGCATTTTCAAGGGGTCTCTTTAACATCTAGGAAAGGTATAAATGAATTATGCACGCTTTCCTCTGATGCCTGGTTAAACTTGTAGAATAGATCTGTGGGCTTTTCCCGAAACCATTCCTCAAATTCCAGATGAGGAAATCACATTTAAGCTAAGCGTGGTGACAAAAGTTGGTAAGATGTAGAGAAGAGCAATTATTAGATACTGCTTATTGATTTATTTTGTGAAAGCACTGCTTGTACTGCTTGTTGTCAAACGTAATTTCACCTTGCTACCTAGAACAGAGGGACCTGGGCAAGGGCCAAAACAATTGAAAAGTCCCAGCCCAAGACAGTCATTGCCCATAGCAACCTGACCACAAAAGCATATACCTGTCAACCCTAACATATGCATTTGAAAAGCAAAGGGCTAATAGCCACTCATACTTCTGGAAGAAGTCCTGCTTGCTTGCCTGCTCACCTCAGCCTATGGTTCTAGAATATAAAAATGAGAATGCAAACTCAACTCAGGACTGAAATCTTTTGTTTGTTTGTTTGGTTGGTTTTTTTATATTTATTTATTTATTTATTTATTTATTTATTTATTTATTTATTTATTCAAGACAGGGTTTCTCTGTGTAGTCCTGGCTGTCCTGGAATATGCTGTGAAGACCAGGCTGACCTTGAACTCAGAGATCTGCGTACCTCTGTCTCCAAAAGCTGGGATTAAAAGAAGACACTACTACTGTCCAAAGAGGATCAGGAGTCTGAAGTCATCCCTGGCTACATGACAAGTTTGCAGCCAGCCTGAGCTACATGAAACCTTACCCCGCCCCCCCTAAAAAAAAAACCAAACAAACCAAAAAACAAAACTGAGAATAGTGTGGGGACTGTCAAATTTAAGTTCAAATGAATGTAAATTCACTTAGAAAAATACTTTGATAAATTCTTATGAGATCTTGCTTCTGTTTTTCTAAACAAATATTCGATAAGACATGAAGAATGACATGACTTTTAAACTAATATTCCTGCCAGTCAGTGGTCGCACACACCAGGACAGGCTCCAAAGCTACAAAGAAACCCTGTTTCAAAAACCAAAAAGAAACAAAACAAAACAAAAAAAAGAGGGAGTTGCTGTGGTCATGTGTCTCTTCACAGCAATAGAAAGCCCAGCTAAGACAGAGGGAAGACTAATAAGCAGGGGAGAAAAAAAAAAAGAAACCAGTAATTGAGGAAGCGTAAGAGAATGTGAAGGAACCAAATTCTATGTCTGGGGATAGAGTCTTTTTTTTTTTTTTTTTTTTTTTTTTTTTTTTTTTTTTTCTAGATGGGGTTTCTCTATGCAGTCCTGACTGTTTTGGAACTCATTCTGTAGACCATGCTGCCCTCGAGTTTGCAGAGATCTACCTGCCTCTGCCTCCCAAGTGCTGGGATTGAAGGATGAAGGTGTGAGGAAGAGGAAGATTTTTTTTCCTTTTGATATTTTGTGCAATTAAAGAAAGGTATTAAAACTGACATAAAGTGCCAGTAGCATGACTTCTAAAACTGTCTGAGTAATGAATTCTTGCTCCCCACAATGCTGATTTTAGGTGTGAGTTCAGTTAACCTCACAAGTGAGTTCAATTCACTACTTGGTGTGATCCAGATAGGTCTGATGATGATAACGGAGAACTTTGTTCAGGTAAAATTCTAAGGCATTATCTAGTTGAATACATGTTTCATAACTCCATAACTCTGACTTATGTTAATTGTTTTCAGGGTCTTGGTTTATTTTATTTGATGTGTATGGGTATTTTATCTCCATGTATGTCTGTGTACTATGTGTGCTACTGGTGCTGTCAGAAGCCGGAAGAGGATATTGTATGCCCTAGGACTGGAGTCAAAGACATTGTGACCTGCCATGTGAATGCTGAGAGCCAAACCTCTGCAAGAGCAACAAGTGCTCTTAACCTTTGAGCCATCTCTAGCCCTGTATTTTGGTGTTTGAGACAGGGTCTCTCACGTATTCTAGACTGGACTTGAACTCACTATATAGATGAAGATGCCTTCAGACTTTTGATTCTCCTGTCTCTACCTTTCTCATACTGGTATTACAGATGTGTACCCTCATTACACCCAGTTTGTGGGGTGCTAGGGACTGAACTCCAGCTGTGTGGGTGTCATGCAAGCACTCTACCAACTGAGCTTCATCCCAGCCCTCTAACCTTCTTATATTAGACTGGGCTTGAAATGCAAAAACTGAGTTTGGGGCTGGAGAGATGGCTCAGAGGTTAAGAGAACTGACTGCTGTTCCGGAGGTCCTGAGTTCAATTCCCAGCAACCACATGATGGCTCACACCCATCTGTAATGAGATTTGGTGCTCAGAACACTATATACATAATAAATAAATTTAAAATAAAAAAAAACCCTGAGTTTGATCAATGCAACACCCTTCAACTACATGATTGGTACCCAAAAGGAGTGGATCTGGATAATAACACCTTTACTTGTCCCAAAGATGCAGTTGCTCTGAACTGATGCTCTAGTCCTTTAGATGCTCTGATAAATAAAGCAGTGACAAATGGTGTTGGTCCAACTGGTTCTCACACAGACTTCGAAGCATTTACAAACATTTTAAAATTATCATTGATATGTTGATTTTTAGAGACAAGAAAGAGCAGCTTTGGTGGTCTGAAGGCAGTGGTACTTTTTATCTGACAAAACAAAACCAAACCCCAAAACCAACAAAAACAACCAGCTGAACAAGAGCACCTAAGTATTTGTGCAAAGTTGTTAAAAAGGAAACAAAATTCATAGTTCAGGAGTTCTGAAGTTTGTCTAAGTGTTATACTGCCACTTTGACTCCATTCTTCTTCTTCCTCTTCTTCCTCCCCTCCCCCTTCTTCTTTCAAGACAGGGTTTCTCTGTGTAACAGACCTCCTGTCCTGGACCTCACTCTGTAGACCAGGCTGGCCTATGAACTCACTTGAGATCTGCCTGCCTCTGCCTCCCAAGTGCTGGGATTAAAAGTGTGTGCCACCACTGCTTGGCTCACTTGAATCATTTTAACAGGAACTGAAATACACTCACAGAGACCAGTATCATTTATTTATTTATGTCTTTTTCAGATACGTTTTGAAAACTCACAGTTCAGATCGAAATCGCTAAGAAGAAACTGGACCTCCCTGTTGCAAAGACCTCTTACTGTTAGATTATAGTATGTTTTAGGACTGGGATCCCCTGATTTTTACCAGGGCAATGCTGGAGCAATACCAGTGTTACTGAGTTCAGGCAGCTAATGGGAACAGTGGCTACAGTGTGATTTTTGGTAATAGACTGGGTTTTAGTTCTTACTATTTTGTAGCTGCCAGCTAAATACAAGTTTAAAATCTATTCATCAACTGCTTAGGCTATGTCAGGCATGTAGGGAAGCCATAGAAACGGTCCAAAAATCAGTTACGGGAGTAGCTTACTCGTAGAATATGTTAACATAAGCTAGGCCTGAATTCTGTCTTCAGCACAAAGCAAGACATAGCCTTAAAACAAGAAATTTGTAATACTTTGTGTAATGGTTAAGTAAAACGGTGCTGTTCTCTAGCGTGGCAGCAGTGGGCAGTGGGCACTAGACCATGCCGCAGGTCCCTGAAGGCAGCTGGTCCCGGGCAGGGAGCCCCAGAGTGGCCCACGGGCCATGAGTGGCAGTGGATCCCAGGCAGGGAGTCGCGTGGCGGGTGAGAGACCGAGAGGGATAGGCACGCCACACAGAGAAAGTGGGTATTTATTTATTTAGTGGGTTATGGAAAGGAAGGGGAGAGGGAGAAGGGGGG